ACATGCAATCTTAGTGCGAAACGTATCTTAGTTGTCATCTGTTTACAACCTACAGCCATGTGGGACCGAGTTGCCATGGTGAGTACGTGACCCAATCCAATCGGTGTGCGTGCGCCGATTATGCAACGGCCCCCACGTGTCAAAGCTGATTTCGGAAATAAAAAAAACAACGTCGTTTCTGTGTTGCCGAGCCTCGTGAACGAAGGTGACTTTCAGACCGCATCCATTAATTTTTCGTCTCCCCCCCCTCCTCTTTTCCGAACATAGATGGACTCGTCCATCTGAACAAACTGTCAAATCGCTGTCCGTGGTGCTAACGTTTAAAAATAACCCGCCACTTTTTTTTCAAATTTTCTTGCTGTGGTTTTCACACCTGATGATGATTGCTTGTGTTGCAGTCGAAACGTCGTGGGAATTTTTATTGTTTTATATTTTTATTATTTTATTGTTTCCCTTCTACGTGACTTTACCGAAAGAACCAAGAATACGTTCTACTTAATTAAATAGACTTTTAAATAAATGTTTTCTCCTCCGACATCAGAGTGCATCGGCGCATTAAATACGCACTACAATGACAATAGTTTAAAACGATTTGAAGCATATGAATCCCTGCAGTCACGAAAGCTTTAAATCAAAATGTAAGTAGAACGTGTTGTCTATATTTATTTAAAGTTGCGCATTTTGATGTGACGTCACATTTCTCAACACCCCCCCCCGCTCGTCACACATCGTCACCCCCCTAGGTGCGTGACGTCATTTATGGACTGCCCCTTATCTACAATCGTACCAACAACTATAAACACTCACCGACACGACCCACAGCGGTCACCCCCACCCATGCGTGATGCACGTGCGACAAACACGAACAAGAAAGCCGTGGCAAACGACGCTGGTGCCCGCGGACAAAAGCCGGGGGCAACGGATCGCCAACTGACCAGTAGAGCAGCGAGACGCCGTCAAAGTGCTCCAGCTCGAACCCGTCCGTGACCAAACACGACATCACCCCCCACCGGCACACAACAACGACGACGACGACGCACACAGCGCGCGCCTCCGCCGCCTCCGCTCGTCGCTCTGCGCCGCGTGACCTCGTCCCGTCCCACCCCCACCCACCCACCCACCCCGCGCGCCTCTCCCGGCCGTGCCGGCTGCCTCCCCTCCGCCACCAATTGGCTCAGCGGCTCGGTGGAGATTGGGGGGGGGGTGGAGGTGGGGGGGGGTGAAGGTGAGGGTTGAGGTGGGGGGGAGATTGAGGTGGGGCGGTGGAGGTGGGGGGGTGGAGGTGAGGGTTGAGGTGGGGGGTGGACGTGGGATGGGGTGGAGGTGGGGGGTGGGAGTGGAGTGGAGGTGGGGGGTGGGGTGGAGGTGGGGGGTGGATGTGGGGGGGAGGTTGAGGTGGGGCGGTGGAGGTGGGTGGAGGTGCGGTGGTTGAGGTGGGGGGGTGAATGTGAGGGGGAGGAGGTGATGGGGTGGACGTGGTGGGGGGGGGGGTGGACGTGGTGGGAGGGATTGAGGTGGGGGGGGATTGAGGTGGGGGGTGGCGGCCTGCGGCGGTGTTTGCGAGCGTGCGCCCGCAAGACACGCTGCGATAATCTACCTCCGTCCAGATTGAGAGGCTGCAATGGGGTCGCAAGCGAAAAACAAAAGTAAACCTCACATTCACCCTAATCTCAGATGTCACAGCGTGACAGGGCCACCGGGGCCCCCTCCCTGCCCGCCTCCCCCGAGCTGCGCGTCCGCCCCCAGGGCCCTTGGGGCGACGTCGTGAGTCAAAGCCGCCCCGGGCTGCTCCTTGGCGCGTGCCAGCGCCATGTCCCAAGTGGCTCAATCACAATAACTCTCTCTGATCACCGCCATCGGGCAGACGAGATGCCAAGCGGTGGGTGGCACGCAGGCAAACACCGCGCGTTGCTGCTGCTGCTGCTCGCCCAATAACGCACTTGCCCATCATCCTGGAGTGACGAGCAGGTAAGGGGCCGTCCATAAATGACGTCACGCGAGTTTAGACGATTTTTGACCCCCCCCCCCCGGTCACACGGTGTCACAAAAAGTCAGACCCCTCCCCTCAAATATGACGTCACAAAGCTCTGCCCCCCCCCCCCCCAAAAAAAAACACATATTTAAATTTTGAAAATAAAACATGCTTCAAATCCTTAGCTCTTTCGGTAAAGTCACGTTGAAGGGAAACAACAAAATAATTAAAAATATATAAAACAATAAAAATTCTCACGACGTTTCGACCATAACACAAACGGTCGTCATCAGGTGTGTCGGTTTGCATACATTTATTTATTTTTAAACGGTGTATTTATTTATTTATAAAAAAACGTCAGCGCCACGCGCAGCGATTTGGCAGTTTATTTAGAAGGACTAGTCCTTCAGCGCCACGCACAGCAATTTAGAAGGACTAGTCCTAATTAGGACTAGTCCTAATTTAGAAGGACTTGTCCTTCTAAATTGCTGTGCGTGACTAGTCCTTCTAAATTGCTGTGCGTGGCGCTGACTTTTTTTATAAATAAATAAATACGCCGTTTATAAATAAATAAATGTATGCAAACCGGCACACCTGATGACGACCGTTTGTGTTATGGTCGAAACGTCGTGAGAATTTTTATTGTTTTATATATATTTTATTATTTAGTGTTTCCCTTCAACGTGACTTTACCGAAAGAGCTAAGAATATGAATTACTGTAGTCACGAAAGCTTTAAATCAAAATTTTATGCTTCAAATCGCTTTAAACTATTGTCATTGTAGTGCGTATTTAATGTGGCGCTGCACTCTGATGTTGTAGGAGAAAACATCACCTGAGGACGGCTGCTTGCGTTGTGGCCGAAACGTCGTGAGAATTTTAGTTTATTGTTTTATTATTGTATTATTTCCCTTCTACGTGACTTTACCGAAAGAACCAAGAATAACAGGTCCCTGCAGGGTGGGCTGGTAGGAACATTGGAATTTTGCGCAATTTTATGACATTGTTACGTAAAATTGTGCAAATTGAGAGCGTCTTCCCACCTTTTTGCCCTCAAAATCGTTGAGGGTTCTTTGGACAAATTAACCTTTGTAGAGGAATGGAATGATGAAATCCTTATTGACTGAAATCTGCTCATTTTGGAGCAATGTATCATAAAATCGTTAAGGGCTGGGCCGAAAAATGACAACAATTGCATTTTAAAATGAGGATTTGTTTCCCGGTATACGGTAGTATGGGGCTTTTGAAAGGGGACGGACGGACGGACACATTAATCTATTGCAGGCTGGTACACTCAGTTTACAACTTCGTTCCTACCAGTACAAACGTCTCTTTAATTAAGTAGAACGTGTTGTCTATATGTATTTAAAGTTGCGCACTTTCATGTGACGTCACATTTATCAACCCCCCCCTCGTCACACATCGTCACAAATGTCTGACCCCCCCCCCCCTAGGTGCGTGACGTCATTTATGGACGGCCCCTAACTAACACCACCAGCCTGTTGTGCGCGAGTTTATTTTTTACCTTTACATTCACAGCTTACTAGAGACGTCACGTAAACACAATTTCATACCCATTGTGTTGCCGCTAGACAAAAGAAAAACTTCAACAGCAGCTGCCCGCCACCGGTTGTCATAAAAATTATTCTCTGGCACGGAACGCGAGGAGCATTCAGAAGGTGAACGGAAATTTCCGTTGTGCTGGCTCCCACGCGGTGCCGCGTCCACGTGGTCACGTGGTCCCAGTGATCACAAAGCCATCGTCGTGCCAGCTGGTACAAACTTGGCTGGTTAAATTCTATTGTTGTTGTGTCCAAATTACTCCCAAATCTCGTGAAATCTCCGAAGTTAAGCTGGTCAGAGCCTGATTAGTACTCGGATGTGATCATTTCCTAGCGAATACCAAGTTTCATATTCCTGGGCTGTGCAGTGGCCCGAAGATGGCAGTAAGGCAATAGATGCTTGAACCTGTGTGGAGCTTTGAGTTGATACACCTCAAAAGGGCCAATTCGACTACAGACCTGAATTTGAAATGATGGCTTTGAGATTGTGAGTTGCATACCCTAATCACTACACCACCAGGCCCCATGACTCAGGAAGGTTTTTGCATATCCATTCACTCGAATGCGGGAATGATGTAATCCAAGTGCAAAATGTGCCACTTTAAATAAAATATGCATAAGTAATGCATCAAAAGAAGTAATAATTTTACAATTGTACGCACATTCCGAGGTATTAAAGTGATCAAGTTAATAGGAGGCTAAACAGGGATTTGCGCTTTGAAATGTTATGAACATGCTGCCATGAACCGCATGCACTTTCCCTCGCTGTAATCCAACGGATTTTAACAATGTAATTAAAAGCATGCACAAATAAAATAAAAATGACCCTTATTCATCGGCCATAACAGGGAATTTCTGACACCACGCTTCAGGTCGTAAATAAGAGAATTGTGACTCGTTACACGAGGCATGAATAAACCTGACATGGGTGTCACCTAGGTTGGCTCAGCCGGAACCGAGTACCTGGGGGATCATTTTGTGTTTGCTGATCCCACCACACCGTCGAGTGAGGAATTTGTTTTAATACCCACGAGGTGACGAGCAGGCGGAAGTGCAGCGAGTAGGTTCGTGAACGTAACTCTGAGGACTGGGAAGTGTTATTCTCATACGTGCACACATTTCTCCTGGTCCTTCGGTTTCCTCCCACACATCAGTTAATGGAACTGGCCAAACAGCTCAGTGCACATCCCTCAAGAACGAATCTTGAGACTCAATGAGGCTTTAATTTATAAAGTACATTTTGGCATTGTCAGAATTCTAGATTTGAAGCTTTCGTGACTGCAAGGATTCATACTGAGTATTATTAGAATTATTATTCATCATAGATTCTGGCCTCAACAGAAAATGTCACGGTCCACATTGATGCACACGTCCTGCTATAAATTATACATCAGCAGCGTCTGCTTGAGACGTCATTGCATTCCGGCTACCCACAGAAGTACAAGTTCTATTCTGTGATTCGCTTACCTTCACCCAGAGTCATCCGCTCCCACTTAAACACGCACGTCCCCGATGGTCACGTCCGGCATTCAGCACCTGCGGAAACAGGGCAACAAACGTGTTGCTTACTTCAACCTGTACGTGGCAACTGGGGTACGTGAGTTGATCGCGCTTGGCTTTGAGGCGACGCGGGAGCTGCAGTGGTTTTTGGGGAAGCCGTTGCTTTTTTTTGCTCCCCCCCCCCCTCCACAAAAAAAACCAATGAAATCTCAACGGTAACTTTTCATTCGAGCAAGCATGGTGTGGCATGGTGCTCATCTCCTATAGCACACCTGCGCCAGTGGTGCAAATTCTACAACTCTACGGCAGTCATTTTTATTGACTAAAGAAGAACGAACGGCCCAAGCTGACTCCTGGCAGGGATATGAACTTGCAACCTTGCGATCGTGGGCCCACACGTTGTAAACACCGCGCCACTTGAGCGGAAACAATGAAGGCAGCTAGTTCTGATTAAGCCGCTATGAGGATAGATTAAGGTATTCTACATCAGTGTTAACATATCTGGGAGCATATTGAACTGGTAATACGTATCATATAGCAAGCTGATGCACATTCTACATCAGCTTACTGCTTGCAGAAGAGTCTGTTCCTTGAAGCACTTCTATAATAACGCCAACCCCAGACATCTCTGACAGTAGCCCAGTATCTGCTGTGATGCTAGATTATCCAGTGCTTTCACAGGCGTGCCACAGCTCCACCCCGCATTAGATATGAATTGTATTAATGTAAAAAAATATCGGTTTCTGAAATATTACTTTAAACGACCGATTAAAGGAATCGTGAACAATGACTCTTTAATGATGCTCCTTTGAAATGTATCTTTCTAAAGTCGTCATATGAGGTGCGAGGTTTGGCTCTTTGTGCAATACTCAGTCCACCTCCGATTTCTAAGCTTGTTAGAAGGGCTGTCACCCGTGCCTTAGTTAAAATGGGTCAAAACATGATCATAATAAAAATATATGAATCTCTGTGATAAACGAGGAATCTTTCACGCAAGAAACAATGCAAATACATTTTTCCCGGTACAATTTGGATGTATAAAGTGTCTAACTAAACGTGACTCATTTCAGGATGCTGGACATATTGGGCTAAGACCAATGGCAGAGCCAGAATTTTCAGGTAGGGGGGGCAACCCCTCCAGCAATGAAAAATTATAGAGGAGTTGTGAGTAAGGACTTGTCCCTTGCTTTTTATTGGACGCGTGTGCGGCGATGGCGCAGCCATCGATCGAGGGTCGAATTCGAACCGCGTTGTGTGATCGGCATCGCGCTCGCTGAAGGTGTTGATGCCTTCAGGGAAGTCGTGTACTATATACGCAACTGCGCACAATTCTGTGAGTCACTTATAACTGCTTTGCCGTTACTTATTGCCAATTATGGACTCAGACTATTGTCCTATCATCTCATAGAGTCCCTAGCATGTAATAATATGCTACACAGTGGCGGTGGGGGGTCAAAAATGCCGATTTATTACTAATATTATCATTGGGGGGGCACGTGCCACCCCACCTCCCACTGGCTCCGCAAGTGGCTAAGACCACTCTGTAGGTCTTGCGTGCTCGTATAGTTCGCCGACCGAGTTTTTTGTTGCGTCGCGCATTGTTATGCACGATGTCCGACATTTCGCTCCAAGTGCTGGGATTTTAATTCGAAGTTCTGGGATCTTCATTCAAAGTGTGGGATCTTAATTCGAAGTTTTGGGATCTTCCTTCGAAGTTCTGGGATCTTCATTCGAAGTGCTGGGATCTTCATTCGTAGTGCTGGGATCTTCATTCAAAGTGCTGGGATCTTAATTCGAAGTTCTGGGATCTTCATTCGTAGTGCTGGGATCTTCATTCAAAGTGCTGGGATCTTCATTCAAAGTGCTGGGATCTTCATTCGAAGTTCTGGGATCTTAATTCGAAGTTCTGGGATCTTCATTCGAAGTCCTGGGATCTTCATTCGTAGTGCTGGGATCTTCATTCGAAGTGCTGGGATCTTCATTCGAAGTTCTGGGATCTTCATTCGTAGTGCTGGGATCTTCACTCAAAGTGCTGGGATCTTCATTCGAAGTTCTGGGATCTTCATTCAAAGTGCTGGGATCTTCATTCGTAGTGCTGGGATCTTCATTCGAAGTGCTGGGATCTTAATTCGAAGTTCTGGGATCTTCATTCGAAGTTCTGGGATCTTCATTCGTAGTTCTGGGATCTTCATTCAAAGTGCTGGGATCTTCATTCGAAGTTCTGGGATCTTCATTCAAAGTGCTGGGATCTTCATTCAAAGTGCTGGGATCTTAATTCAAAGTGCTGGGATCTTCATTCGTAGTGCTGGGATCTTCATTCGAAGTTCTGGGATCTTCATTCGAAGTTCTGGGATCTTCATTCAAAGTGCTGGGATCTTCATTCAAAGTGCTGGGATCTTCATTCAAAGTGCTGGGATCTTCATTCAAAGTGCTGGGATCTTCATTCAAAGTGCTGGGATCTTCATTCAAAGTGCTGGGATCTTCATTCGAAGTTCTGGGATCTTCATTCAAAGTGCTGGGATCTTCATTCGAAGTTCTGGGATCTTCATTCGAAGTTCTGGGATCTTCATTCGTAGTGCTGGGATCTTCATTCGAAGTTCTGGGACCTTCATTCGAAGCTTACTTCAGAAAACTCCAAGCACGTAGAGGGGAAACGTCAGAATACTAACAATTTATTTATTGTCCAGGAAAGCCACGCTGAGTCGTAGGACACTCTTTCAGGAGTGTCCGGCATTGGGTTTTTATCTTAAGATGTTTTCAGCCAATTAATGAGTGTTGATCATACATGTGGGAGGAAACCGGAGCACCCAGAGAAAAGCCACGCATGCGAGGGGGCAATGCTCTATCCCCAGAAGGAAATTAGTCCACTTGCTGCATAGATGTTGTGGCACTTCGACACCCAAGGGGCGTGCACATCCACCGCCGCCTAGGACATCATGCCAAACCACACGCAGTACCGCCCGAAAACACCTCAGAGGGAAAAACGGAGGTGACATTCATGTATTGGGAGCAAGGGAGGGCAAGGAATGGAATTCTTCATTTTTCTATAGGAAGGAATGCAGGAGTCTACAGGACAGAGGGAAAGAAGGCACTTCATGGAGTGAGAGCCACACGCAGATGAGACGGTGGCAAAGCCTAACAGACTATTACCAATATAAACACGTGAATGAGGCGTTCTCGGATTAAAATCATTCAGTGAAACACATGCACACAATTTTATCAACTAGAAAAGAGGTTAAATAACTATTTATTGATTTTTTTTTAATTCGCAGATCTGTAAAATCCTGCAGCAGCAAGAACACACGAACCTTCCAGAGGGATCTGCTCGGCACTCATCTGCGGTTATCCCCTTGTTGACCCTAATCTCTCTCTTTATAAGCCGCAAACAGGCTGTTGATTAGAAGGGCCTGACCCACCCCTGGCGGTCTATTGTCACACTGCAATTAAAATGTTCACGGGCAAATTCAATCGTGAGCCGGTGGACAAGCAATGGTTTCTGTGAAAACACGTAACTGGAATTTGTTTTATTGACTGAACTGGTTTGTCAACTCGGATTTATGAACGTGAAGATCATCCATGGTCCGCCCCTGCCTACATCTCCCCTCTCATCTCACTCCACTCCCCTCCACTCACTCTCCTTCATCTCCCCTCTCATCTCACTCCACTCCCCTCCACTCACTCTCCTTCATCTCCCCTCCCATCTCACTCCACTCCCCCCCCCACTCACTCTCCTTCATCTCCCCTCTCCTCTCACTCTACTCCCCTCCACTCACTCTCCTACCCTCCCCTCTCCTCTCACTCTACTCTCCTCCACGCACTCGCCTACCTCTCCCCTCTCATCTCACTCTACTCCCCTCCACGCACTCTCCTACCTCTCCCCTCTCATCTCACTCCACTCCCCTCCACTCACTCTCCTTCATCTCCCCTCCCATCTCACTCCACTCCCCTCCACTCACTCTCCTTCATCTCCCCTCCCATCTCACTCCACTCCCCCCCCCACTCACTCTCCTTCATCTCCCCTCTCCTCTCACTCTACTCCCCTCCACTCACTCTCCTTCATCTCCCCTCCCATCTCACTCCACTCCCCTCCACTCACTCTCCTTCATCTCCCCTCTCCTCTCACTCTACTCCCCTCCACGCACTCGCCTACCTCTCCCCTCTCCTCTCACTCTACTCCCCTCCACACACTCTCCTACCTCTCCCCTCTCATCTCACTCTACTCCCCTCCACTCACTCTCCTTCATCTCCCCTCCCATCTCACTCCACTCCCCTCCACTCACTCTCCTTCATCTCCCCTCCCATCTCACTCTACTCCCCTCCACGCACTCTCCTATCTCTCCCCTCCCATCTCACTCCACTCCCCATCATGCACTCGCCTACCTTCCCCCTCTCATCTCACTCTACTCCCCTCCAAGCATTTTTCGCTCCAGCACCCAATGTTTTCTGTTGAAGCCCTCATTCAACGTTTGCACAGTGGGAAGTTGCACATTCTCCTCCGCTGTCCCCAACAGTCTGGGAATACCATTCCCCCGTCCATCCGTGCTGTCAACTACCTGCCCCTGTTCAAGTCCAGGCTCAAAGGCCTTTTTTTGCCTCTGCCTATGACCGGTCGCCGCCATCAACAAAGTATGCACACCGTTTCTGTACAGCACCCTGAGACACGGCTATCTAGCAGGGCCGGATTTAGATTATGTAGGCCCCTGGTCTACAGGTACTTTGAGGCCCCCAGTAATATTTTCAAAAGGAAAGCAAAGTTAAAGAAAATAAAATTGTATTTTTACAAGGCTAACAACAAATAAAATTCAGCATTCACGAGTGAAATAACTTTCCACTTAATCTCTGGAGGCGCTCCAGCTGGTGGAGGCCCCCTGGGCTGTAGCTCCTAAAGCCCCCCGTGCCTTAATCGGGCCCTGCTACCTTATAGACACCATAAAAATGCACATTGTTATTTAATTGGAAGTCGGTAACGCGATAATGGTAACCTGTGTTGCAGGTATTCATGCACCTTTACACACTCGCAGCAACTATTTACTGTCACGCAGCTGAAAGGTGCCGCACCTCCCTCTGGAATTCTCCTAAGCCCAGCCAGGCAGCTTACGACACCCAACTCTGCTTGGCTGCAATAAACACAGCAATCATCCGAGCAGCTTGTACACTCTACCTGCAGGAGAAGACAATGATTTTACAATCCTACTGCTACTGATGCCACCAGTAGGCTTTCCATTTCACTAAACAGCATGTGTAGCTGATAGTAGGGGTTTCCCTTTTTTCTGGCAATAAAACAGGTGTTAAGATGTTAAAACATCAAACTGAAACCTTTCACAAGGAATCATGTCTGCATTAACCACAATGCTTGTGGTCAGAATGCAAACAAAAAAACGTACTCTGAGAGTATGATGCATTGTCCTTGAAACTGATTGGTCCACACCAGAGACAGCTTTCTTTTGAGCCTCGTCTCAAACGGTGTTAGACCAGAGGACGCCAAAAAGCGAACAGCACAAAGACAATGCCACTATCAGAGTAATGAGAGCTCGGGGTTGAGCAGCTACATCATGGGACCTCCTTTGCCAGTAGCAAAATATGAGATTGGGTTTTTCCCCACAATGTTTGTGGTCAGAATGCAAACAAAAAACATTCTCTGATAATATATGCGTTGTTCTGTTGCCAGCCAAAAGGGGAATGCATATACAGTATTATCAGAGTATGTGTTTTTGTTCGCATTCTGACCACAAGGATTGTGGGGGGAAACCTATTATCATATTTTGGTACTTGCAAAGGAGGTCCCGTGATGTAAACACATGTAGCTCCCTGCCATTAATTTGGCAGTGTGTGTTCTTGTTTCTGCTATGATGGGGTTTCTCATCATTTATGGATTGTATGACGGTAGCAGAGAAGGTTGGAGGATGCTGCCCCTAGTGTGTAGAACACAGCTCCGTCCCAGGCCCTTCAGAAGTAGCTCTGTCATATTCACTTCAGCAAGCTCTTCTCTAGCACTGTGTGAGAGAGCCAATGGATTTTTGTTCGATTTAAAGCTTTCGTGACTGCAGGGATTCATATTCTTGGTTCTTTCGGTAAAGTCACGTGGAAGGGGAATAATAAAATAATAATACAAAGTCTTGTTAAATTTTTATTATTTTATTATTTCCCTTCTACGTGACTTTAGCGAAAGAACCAAGAATATGAAAGCCAATGGATTGTTCATCTCGTTACTATAGATTCCCGCACCTCCGATTGTTGTCTCCGTGTCTGTGTTTTGTCCTCTCAAATTTAGCAATCTTTGGAAGAACGTAATCAACCAGGTGGGGTGTTGACTGTTGTGTTGACCGACTCTCTGTGTTGTATTGCATTGCATTTCTGAGTTTACCATGTTTGGTTTTCTCATTCATTCGTACCTGATGATGGTTGCTTGTATTGCAATCGAAACGTCGTATTCTATTATTATTAAATTTATTTTCTTTCTACGTGAATTTACCGAAAGAACCAAAGAGTAGCATGGATTTGGAGTTATAATTTAGAACTCTATATAGACATGCAACTTTAATTAGAGTTAGGTTCGGTTGGGCTGAGAGGTTTGGGTTAACATTGCATTAATATTGCATTGATATTAGCTACCGTGGTACGTGCAGTGAGCTGTGTGCATTGTTTAAATAACACAAGACTGTAGATATTTTGACCCCCCCCCCTCGTCACACGGCGTCACAAAAAGTCAGACCCCCCTCAAATATGACGTCACAAAGCTCTGCCCCTCCCACCCCCCAAAAAAATATAAAACATGCTTCAAAGCGCTTTAAACTATTGTAATTGTAGTGCGTATTTAATGATGTTGTAGGAGAAAACATTTATTTAAAAAGTCTATTTAATTAAGTAGAACGTGTTGTCTATATTTATTTTAAGTTGCGCATTTTGATGTGACGTCACATTTCTCAACCCCCCCCCCTTCGTCACACATCGTCACAAATGTCTGACCCTCCCCCCTAGGTGCGTGACGTCATTTATGGATGGCCCAAAGTCCCATCACAAGTGATAAACACGAACATTTTGTTTTATTTTGCCCGTAATGAAACGGCTGTACGCCGTATGGACCTGACAACTCAATTTCCCTTGCGATGGCACTTTGTAGGATGAATGTTGCGATGTCTAAGGGGCACGGGGGTGACCAATAGGGCCTGAATCGGTCTGCAGTAAGCTGGGGGCACTGATGAGGGGTTTGTGGGCAGCGATGCAGCCGAGTTGACGAGGTAGCGCGCGCCGACCTATGAAGGCCGGCAAGGCACACGAGGGGGTGGGTGGCCAACAGCCACGCCCGACCGCCTTTGTCTCCCCAGTGGCGATGTTTACTACACACCGCACCGGGTACTCATTTGAGGCTGAGTAGACCTAGGGGAGGCCCAGGGCCGGTTCGGATAATCGTCACTGGTGTTGGCTGTGAGCGGGAATCAAACTCGGGTCGCCAGGTTCGTGGCGCGGGGCAGCGCTAACCGCTGCACCACCGCTCACGGCTCCCCCCCCCCCCCCACACCGCATCCACCACACCATCCCCTACACCACATCATCCCCTACATCACATCATCCCCTACACCACATCCCCCAAACCACACCACATCATCCCCCACACCACATCACCCCCTACACCACACCACATCATCCCCCACACCACATCATCCCCTACACCACATCATCCCCCACACCACACCACATCATCCCCTACACCACATCCTCCACACCACACCACATCATCCCCTACACCACATCCTCCACATCACACCACATCATCCCCTACACCACATCCCCCACACCACACCGCATCATCCCCTACATCACATCACCCCACACCACATCACCCCACACCACATCACCCCACACCACATCACACCACATCACCCCACACCACATCACCCCACACCACATCACCCCACACCACATCACACCACATCACCCCACACCACATCACCCCACACCACATCACCCCACACCACATCACCCCACACCACATCACCCCACACCACATCACCCCACACCACATCACCCCACACCACATCACACCACGTCACACCACATCACCTCACACCACATCACCCCACATCACACCACCCCACATCACATCACCCCCCACATCACATCACCCCACATCACATCACACCACCCCACACCACATCACCCCACACCACATCACCCCACATCACACCACATCACATCACCCCACATCACATCACCCCACACCACATCACCCCACATCACCCCACACCACATCACCCCACACCACATCACCCCACATCACACCACACCACATCACCCCACACCACATCACCCCACACCACATCACCCCACATCACATCACCCCACATCACATCACCCCACATCACATCACCCCACATCACATCACCCCACATCACATCACATCACCCCACATCACATCACCCCACATCACATCACATCACCCCACACCACACCACATCACCCCACATCACACCACATCACATCACCCCACATCACATCACCCCACATCACATCACCCCACATCACATCACATCACCCCACACCACACCACATCACCCCACATCACATCACCCCACACCCCTCCGTCAAAAGTCCTCCAGTCCACACGCTCGAGTCCGCGCTTACCTCGATTCAGTATGGGGAGGAGGGGGGTGGTTCGTATTCTTCCCGGGGTCGGGGAGGGGGGTGGTGGTCCCAGGGGTTCTTCGGGGTTGGGGGGGGGTTCAACGGGGGGGGGGGGGGGGGGGGCGTCGAGTCCCGGGGTCCCCTGGGGTTAGGGGGGGGTCTCGCTGCTCCCAGCGGACTCCGGCAACCTCCTTGGGATGAACGGGGACGGCCCCGGATGCCAGCCCAGAGGTTTTCCCCCCCTCTCCCCTCCCCTCTCCAGATCCACATTGAACATTCACAGCAGCAGAGTTGTCAGCACCCTTCAGTCAATGCCCGACCGTGTCAGACTAACTCAGACCCTAGTGGGCATCTCCATTGCCCCTTTATACATCGCCACGTCCATCCTGCAAAGTTTCCGCGACAATGGAGAAACACACACAGACACATTGCTTTTGATCGTATTGAAGCGACCGTACGCCTGTACAGGAATACGGGATAGCAGGTATGGGGCCGTCCATAAATGACGTCACGCACCTGGGGGGGGGGGGGGTTCAGAAATGTGACGTCACATCAAAATGCGCAACTTTAAATAAATATAGACAACACGTTCTATTTAATTAAATAGACTTTTTAATAAATGTTTTCTCCTACAACATCAGAGTGCAGCGCCACATTAAATACGCACTACAATGACAATAGTTTAAAGCGATTTGAAGCATGTTTAATATATATATTTTTTTGGGGGGGGGGCAGAGCTTTGTGACGTCATATTTGAGTAGGGTCTGACTTTTTGTGACGCCGTGTGACGAGGGGTGGGGGGGGTCCAAAATCGTCCAAAATCACGTGACGTCATTTATGGACGGCCCCATATAGCACACGTATTAAATACGTAAGACGCATGAATACTGCACAGTAACGTTAAATGCACGTTATGTAATTGTTTAGTATATCGTTCCTTAAATTGACGGTATATTCCACACCACCACTCCACGCATCACGATACACCGCACCCACGGCACAAACGTGGTCAGCGACGCATTTTCTCGATCCATCTTTGCGGAGCCATGAGTTGTATCCCCTCGAATGCGAGGATGTTTGCAGGTACAGCAACATCACTGGGTTCCTCCCACATGAAGCCAGACACTCATTCGTGGAATTGGCCAAACATCCAAATGTAGCCTGTACGTAATCCTCCTTGACAAAAAAATTGTGTTGACACCAAGTGAGAGATTCCTATTCAGCACATCCCATTCCCTCCACCACATCTGAACCTTCTAGAGTGGAGGCCAGATCATAAACTATACTAACCGATCAGACCGAAGCAGTACCTCGAGCACTAATCACACTTGCCAACCAGAATATGATGTTTGCTAAACTAGGCAACCAAACCCCAACGCTAGCAAAATACTCGAACTAGCTCTCGCTTGAGGAGCGTTTAATCTCAACAGTATCTCTCTCTCCTCTGGTTTTAAATTATTTCAATGAATTAAAAAGTCTCTACATCATTAGACCTCCTTTGCCAGTACCAAAAGAAAGCCGTCCCTTGGTGTGGACCAATCAGTTTCAAGGACAATGCATATATTATCATAGTATGTTTTTTGTTTGCATTTTGACTGCAGGTATTGTGGTTAATGCAGACATGCATCCTTGTAAAAAGGTTTGTTTTTTGCCAGAAAAAAGGGGAAAACCCCTATTATTATTGAATTAAAAAAGTGTTTTGCGTGTGTTTATCGCCACCTGCAGTCTCAGTCACAAGCCTGACACAACCAACCATCACCAGTATCTCGAACGGTGTGCGGGTTGGTCATGCTTGTGACGAATAATAGTTTCATTAAATTTGTGTGCAATTTTTTTTACTTCTCATGCTCATTGACTAAACGAGATGGAACAGATGAAGCAATGCATTTTGGGTAATAACATACTATTTTGTCATTTTACCCAGACATGTTTGTGGCACTTGACTTAGCTTTTGCAATTTCAGTTTTGATGCATTCATAATAAAGGTTTTTGGGTTAGATCGCGTTTATTTATAAATGTGCCGTAACCCTCCACCACCCGACACGGCCAATCAGCAAAAAAAGTGTCACGTTGACAAAAGACAAATAATTCACTACTTCAGCCCACCGGTGTGTTGAAGAGTTAATCCACATTTACAGTTTGAGTACGACGTTTCGCTGGTAAATACATCCAGCATCATCAAGCAATTCGCCAGAATGGTTAAAAAGTCTGGCGAATTGCTTGATGATGCTGGATGTATTTACCAGCGAAACGTCATACTCAAACTGTAAATGTGGATTAACTCTTCAACACACCGGTGGGCTGAAGTAGTGAATTATTTGTCTTTTGTCAACGTGACACTTTTTTTTGCTGATTGGCCGTGTCGGGTGGTGGAGGGTTACGACACATTTATAAATAAACGCGATCTAACCCAAAAACCTTTATTATGAATAATATTGGTCGCGAAAGCCTACGTGTTAAATTGATGCATTCACCAGTTCTTTTAATATGCAAAAACATGTTTCAGAGCGACTGATTTTATACCATCTAAGTAAAATAAAACCAAGATTTTTTTCTATCTCAACACAATGAAAATTATTACCCACTTCAAAGAGACACTGCAACTTTACCCTTAAATTATTTTTTTCTGGTCAGTAATAACACTGAAAGTGTTTTTTTCTGTTATTTAAAAATATATAGCAATAGATGAATAAAGGCTGTTGAGTGGATAAGCATATGGCTTTCCCCCTGCTACTAATGTGCAATGTGTCAGCATATTATGATCATTTTACAAAAAACAAATGAGTTTCTGCTTACATTATTGACTTTTTAAGGGTTTGTCTGTCACTAAATATACACTAATGGGTAAATGTTTATATGCCAGCTTGACTAGATATTCATCAATTTCGATAAAAATCTTAACATTTAATTTCTAAATGTAGTCTCCAACTATGATTCACTCAATCTCCGACCTCTTTGTCTCTCTGTGATAAAGGGCCATTGCCCTGATTTTTTTTTATCGATGTATGTTTCCTCTAAGGGAAGTGCTGTAAGCTAACGTGCTGAGTTTTGATATTTGAACGGGATCTATCAAATTATGCCATGAGAATGTGGAATTAATACCACTGGCTCAGGATCGCCAAAAGACATGAGCTCCACGTCGGTGCTTGCTTAAGCAGGGATACATTTGACTGTGAATTAGAAAATAAGAGGTCTGCGCACAGAATGACGACTTTATCATTACAGGAGAATCCTCACCGTATTACTTTATTCGTAAAAAAAAGACAATTATTTCATTTAAGACAATAAACAAATGTGACTCAACAGTAAACAACAATACAACGGCTTACCTACTACTGTAGTTATGTTCCTTTTATATTGTTTAGCACGGATTTAGTTTGACAATTTAAATACAAACTGTATTTGCAAGCTAGGTTTACATGACGTTGCTATCAAAATATTCAAGTACAGTATACATATTGAACAGCAAACTTAACATCAATGTATCAAACACATTACATAGAAGCGTAACAACACAATTGTACTAAGACCAAACAAAACTAAAACAATACATTATTGTCCTCCTTCCAAAGTCTTACTAAAATTAAGTGCAAGCCACAAGGAGAAAAAAAAAACCCCATCTAAATCATATTTTCACTCCTTGTCATGGCATCGATTTTTGTAACAAACACTGCAAGTGGCCATTAGATAGCAATTACTGTGCACGAGTTAGAATTTGTAAGTTGTGCAAGGGCTGTGATGCCTAGAAATTTCCACATCCTACCACATGGCCCTCGTCAGCAAAGCCACATTTAGATATGAATCATTATTATCCATTATCTATTCACTGCTGGATGAAGGCCTTCCAAAGTCGTCACCACCTTTTGCTTACCTTTCCTATACTTTGCACTCCTATCGTGTTTGTGTAGTTTGTTTTTGTAATGTTCTGACTCGCCCCTACTGGACGTCTGTGAAACAGATCTTCATAGCTCATCGGATTCCTCCAGTTTAAATTCATATTATGATTCTCGTGGTATTGTGATGCAACGATCTATCTAGCTCCTGCACACAAGCTGATTTGATTGCTTCTAGATTTGAAGCTTTCGTGACTGCAAGGATTCATACTCTTTGGTTTTTTCGGTAAAGTCACGTAGGTTTTAGTTTTACCGACGTGACTTTATCGAAAAAACCAAAGAGTGTGATTTGATTGCTGTCTCTGCGCTGAATATCCTCTCGTGTTCATTCTCTCCTTTGGTTATATGAATGTGTCGTCCAATTTAATGTGTTATAATGTTCAAAATGAGTACTTGTGCGAGGGCAACTGATGGCCTCAAAGAAAAAAAGGTAATGTTATTTCTTCATGTGACATTTAATTACTGAATTATCTCAGAATCTAGCCACCCAGCCGTATCAGACTACTTTGAGATGAGCAGCACAGCGCGTCTGCACAGAGAAATGCACGTGTGCACATGTACATTACAATCATCAATGAGAAAAACAATGTGCACTATAGTGGCACTTAACATTTAATACATATCGCATCGGGGCAATGATCTACCCACTGCAACGGGCTGACAATTTAAAAATGTTTTTGATCTTACAAAATTAAACTATCAGTCGATGACGACCGTTTGTGTTATGGTCGAAACGTCGTGAGAATTTTTATTGTTTTATATATATTATTATTTTATTGTTTCCCTTCAACGTGACTTTACCGAAAGAGCTAAGAATATGAATTACTGCAGTCACGAAAGCTTTAAATCAAAATTTATCAGTCGAGAGTTTCAGCATAATGGCATATTGTGTTAGTTTGTGGGGCAGTGTAGAACATTCGCGTTTGTTGACTCAGTTGAATTGATCTATTTTCATTGCCACCAGCGTGCGCGAAGCAAGGCAGTAGGTTGCTTTCTAAGGTCTCACATTGTCGCACCTCCGATTAGCACGGTTGGCTACGTATGGTGCGAAAGACGTTCAACATACATACAAAGATACATACATAGTCAAACTAAGGATGTCAGATGAAGATTGCCACCAACTCCAGCAACAGCAATGTGCTTCCCCCCGAGAGCAGTATCCAGTGCCTGCACAGCCTTTCCTATTGGCACATTGCCCAGCACCTGTCACACACACACAGAGCCATCGACACACACAGCACAGCAAGGCAAGTGGGCCAGTCAGAATTACGTACAGGCTGTGAAAGTTTTCAACCTGGACTGCAACACTTGAGCCACCTGGATCACCATCTTAGATTAAATGCAGAGATTGGGTCCTCCAAGTTAAATGGTGATGTAAACACCCAAACAACCAAACTCTCATATATTGTGATGATTCCCAAATAGCACGTGATAAAACTGGATGATTAATACCATGTAACGATTTGGTTGATTTTACATGCATAGAATCCTGTGGTCAATGTTTGTAAATCTACCTCTCTTACGGTGGGATATACAGGTTTAAGGACTTGCATATATCTAGCACTTAAAAATAGCATATCAAGCACTTTTCAATGCAAACTAAAAATTACAAAACACCAAGGCAAAAAAAGGAATGTTTGTGACTTTTTCATATTATTTGCAAACATCATAAATAATCAATTCTTTCATGCACGATTCAAGGCACATACCGAGACCACAAACATGTATCGTAATCGATTGTTACGTGCTTACATTTTATCACGCAAATATTGCAAAAAATACTATGTGGCTGCATATCCATAAACCTTACAGTACACAACACCATCACATGCAGTAATGCGACGCTTGGTTTAAGCGCCACTTGCAAAGACATTAACCCTTTGCGGTTCTGCAAGTTGTAGGGTGGGTCCCAATCACTGCTAAATCTCGGAACGTGCAAGTGGTTCAGCATTCATTTTATTTAGAGAGGCGTAGGGGCCGTTGTTTTTGAAGGCATTGTACTCACCGCAGAGAACCGTAGCGACATGACCGCACTCTATGATAGCTGGCACCAAACTGTACCACATGCCCTCCCGCATGGCCTTGTGGGAGCCTCGGAACCAATAAAGTTATTTGATTAGTTTTTTCTTCCAGTTCCGTACGTCATCAGAACGGGAAAGGATTAACTGTGGTTTGTTTCACCTGGTCAGTCTTGTAGTTGATGACATGAGCAGTGTTCGTGCCACTGCCACCAGCGATGACAACGTCGTGGCTGCAGAACTGGGCGGCATACAAGAACTCGCCCTGCTGCGGCTCGCTCGGGATGGGGATCTGCTTCTCCTGCTTGCAGCTGCCAAAGTCCCACAGCTGCAGCGAATTCTGGGCCACCCATGACGCAGTCAAAACCTTGTTGCCCTGGCAAATGTTAGGCAAAAATGTTATGGTTTACTGTCTCTGACTTGTCATTTTTAACAAACAGCATTATTGTGGTAATAGCGAATAATGTCTCGTCACGTGTATTTGTGACTTATTCTTTTAAGACACGAGTGAAATTAGGAATTTCAAATGTATTGTATTATATGAAAAATAAGAATATGTTTTACCCTTTCTGTTAAGATGTTCAAACACCGAATAGATACCATTTGCAAGGAATGAGGTCTGCATTAACCACATGTACTTTGTGGTGAACATGCAAACAAACACCAGTGTCATACCAGAGAACAATCAAAAGGCGAACAGTACAGAGACAATTCACATATCAGGGCATTTATAGTTCGGTGTGAGCAGCTATTTCTGATATATGACACTGGTGAGACTGGCCATAAAGAAGGCTATCTCTGGTGTAGGCTAATCAGTTTCAAAGACAATGCAAGTATATTATCAGAGCATGTTTGTTTGCATGTTCACCACAAGCATTTGTGGTAAATGCAGACTTCGTCGTGATTTTTGTTATTTTATTTTTTACCTACGTGACTTTACCGAATAGAACCAAAGAGTATAAATGCAGACTTGTTTCCTTGCAAAAGGTACCTATTTGATGATTTAACATCTTAACACCTGTTTTATTGCCAGAGAGGGTAAAATCTATTCTTATTTGTCATACTTTGATGCTGGCAAAAAGGTTCCATGTAAAAAGAATGATCTGTAAAAACTTACTTTGATGTCGATGCCTGGGCCACATATGTGTGGACCGATGATAAGCTTCCGAGCAGAGCTCGTTATCCTCTTGTCCCAGATCTGAGAAAGGAATGCGAGTGCTTACTGCTCTGTTTAAGTTTGAAGAGAGTAATATTCCACTCGGTAAAAGCTAATTATGAAAACAGGTACTTTGAAGGTTTCATTGCGTGAAGTTATCTCTCTTGCCATAACATTGTTCTACGTGAAAGTGCAGTTAAACAATGTGTACTATGCATTTTACAATTTCAGTAAGATTTCAGATCAAAAATCTCAGATTTTTTTTTTACTCATTATACACTTTTAAAACTCTTTTGTGTTACCTTAATTCCCTCTTGTTGCAGTGGCAAGTTATACCTTAACCGGTCATGGGCCAGCCCCATGCTCCAATCCACACTGATCAATGTGATGATGTACAATCAAACAACACCCATGGCCGAAAGGTGTGGGGAGGCCTTCATCCAGCAGTGGATTAATAAGAAATGGAAATCACTATTATTTTATTATTACCGTACCAAGAAAATGATGTATGTAGATGTAGGCTTAAGCAGGAGGCTCATTCACGTGATCAGAGACTACAGTCCAGACTGAGAGCACTAACCTTCAGAGAGTTGTCCCATCCCCCTGTGACGAAGTAGTGCAATTCTTCAGGATGAAACTTGAGTGCAAATATCCTACGGGAATGCCCACTGGTCAGGCTGATGTCTTCACAGGAAATATCAGGTGCTTCGTACATATGGACCATCTAGCCAGAGAAATGAGAGATCAGAAACATACACACACGTCAAGTATGAAGATGGATTTGTAAGGTTTGTTTTTACTTTAAAAATTCTGAGTAGGTTAGCTCTTGCTATTTAACAATGACCCCAGTGGTGTCTTTGGCACCATCCGGCAACTACTGATCGCTGCAATGAATCATGAATGGCACGCAATCTCCACTCTATTTGCCTTGCCCAAATATTCACCGTTGTACCCGCTCGTATTTGATCAATCCTGTATTTTATATGTTTTATTTGCACTGGCTGTGGTTGCTCAGCTGTTCTGTGCAAGTCAGGTGATGCTATCTCAAAAAAACACAAACTTGCATTTGGAAAAGGGGATTTTTGTTATTGAAACATTCACACATTTTGCAGTGGTTTTTCATATTGTTGAAGGATCCCCTCTCGTTTTGTTTTCTTATTTCTTGTGGTACTGACCACTGCAACATTACCTGATTTGTTTGACTGTCGTAGACGCGGATGTTCTTATCCTTTCCGCAGGTGGCGTAAACGCTTCCATCCAGACAGAAATCAAGTCCATTGATTTCATTTCCTTCCTCTGCAGAAAGAGCACATGGTCAGCGCAGCCTAGCATAGATCCCCCTTCACAAAGTGGCATCATGTCCTATAGAAGGAGGAACGGAACGCTGCAAAGTTAAATCATTAACAGTGAGGATAATGGCCCAACGTGTAATGTGTTCATCATGAATTCTGTAAAGTTCCACACAGAGACATGCAAAATGAAGTATTGCAGAAGTCAAGGAGGGTTCTAAGAGGGGTGGGGGAGGGGGGTTAGTGTGGCAAAATGAAATGGGAGGGGGGCAAGTGATTATTTTTACCCCCCAATCCCCAGGTCACTATTCCAAATGAGACTATCTTAGTCGCTTGGGTTCTATCATGATTAAATAAAATAAGCTGAACTGAAAACTGGAATGCCTGAAATGTTTTGACAGCAATTTTATCATTGACCATGTTTGAGATTTTTCATGCATGTAAAATTTCGAGTAAATATATCATATTTACTGATGTATATTTTATTTTAGATGAATGTATTATGAAATTATGAAATCTGAGTTTAAAATGCAATAATTTTTGTTTCAGAAATGAGTGGTCTTTGAAAAAATATGCTGTCTCCGAACTATTTAGCTGGGCGCAGCACTACTTACAGTTCATAAAGACTGCCACACTCTACAAACAGCAATCCAAAGTTCGACAAAAAGCCTGCTCAAAATGAAATACTTGTACACCAGTGGTAAAATTGACAGTATATGTACTGCATATATATTTTTTAAAATGTGAACATTACTTGCTGAAATATAACTCAATCTTTTCACCAAATGCCAACAAGCCCTCCAAAAAGTAACTGGGCCATCTGCTCAATGGGAGCCACGATTGTGTTAACCCTCATTAATAACCTTCACATACGGCTGCACGCTGTGAAAGAAGACCTTCAGCGATGAACAGATGACTGATGTGATATTCTATCACAATGTAAACATCAGTGTATGGGCACTGCTTCTGGAACAAAACTGAGATGTACTTGTTACATGATGTTTCTTGGAAAGCAGCCAACATAGTCCATATTATACCACAAAGTTGAAAGCTGACTTCAATTTTATGGGACTGATAAAGCTTAAGTCACACCACTCGATTACCACTCTCATTATATATCAACCTATCCAATCTACTCATGAGACGCAAATTAGTGCGTTTGAACAGACATTAAGTGCATTAATGTGTTCCCACTAATACATAGTGGTTAGCCCGCTAAGCTATGAACCTAGAGACCTGAGTTTGATTCCCAGCCACAGCAAATATCACTGATGTGTGATGATATCAGAACAGGTCGTAGGACCTATATCCCTTTCACCAACCCGCACTGACCACTATGGTCAAATAACCCTCATGGTCAAATAACCCCAAATCAACATGGCATGGGGGGACGGGTGCCTTCATTCAGCAGTCGATGACAGAGGTACTGTATGGATATGAATCACTGTTTCTATTCTAATTTTAATTGTAACATATTAATGTGTCATTTTACTTCGCACACAGGTGGACACAACCGTACAAGGTGCCTGCGTGAAGCCGCTGCTTACCAGTGAACGACAGGATACACTCGCTCGTCTCGCTATTGTAAACGTTGACGCTGCCGTCAGCGGACGCGGCCACCAAGAGGTCCATGTTCTTGGGGTGGAAGGCCATGCAGGTGACTGCCTGTCGCTTTGGGTGGCCAAGGCACAGGTCTGCCTGTGGGGTTCCTTCCGGCACCCTCAGTACCTAAATAATAAAAACACCATTGTGAAGAATGACAGTGTGTTCTACACGGAGGGTGATGACGAACCCCAATCAAAGAACAATGGTGCAGAGACTGTAATAAAAATGTGTCTTCAACCGCAGTAAATATTTACAGAGCATGCACATCCATGAACGTGTAGCTTTTATGGGGGAAGGCTTCTCAGGAAATTAATGTTGGGATCATTTGCTCGAATTAATTCAATTGCGGGATTGTGAGAGATGGTGACAGCTTGGGGGATGTCTCACATTCAGCGGTGGATTGATCAGGGCTGACATTGTGCTGGGGGAGCAGGTTACCTGCACAGCCCCATTGCCAAAGCCGACGGCCAGCTTGCGCACGCTGTGGGAGAACTGCAGGCTGTAGATGCCATAGCTGTCCCGGTGCAGGGGCACATGCTGGGGATGCTGCAAGCTCTGCTCCGGCTTCATCAGCTCCAGCTTCTCATTGAGCTCCCGCGCTGTGTTCACCGCCTCCTCGAGCCGTCGACGAGCCATGCTGCACTCATGCACGAGGGGAACCGCAATCGTTTCAAAGGTAACTTAATTTAATGTCATCAAATTGTGGTTGACAGTGTACAGCCCTTTTGTCAATCCACTGCTGAAGGCCACTCGATGCCATGCCCAGGGTCTTGGGGGTTGTTCGGCAATACTTCACCACACTGCTCAGTGTGGGTTGGTAAAGGGTGGGGAATCTAGGACCTGTTCATGTGGCCCGGATGAAAATCAGATCACCGGGTTCATTTCGTAGGTCTGCTAACCACTGTGCCACTGCTCTTCCAGGCAAAATTTAAGTTTTATGATCACAGTAACAGGTTTTTATTGGGGGGAAGTGGTGGTTATCGCAGTGCGATCTGAACGCAGTGACCTGATCTCAATTGATGGCTCTGGCTAACATCAGTGGCGAGCGATATCTGAACGGGGCCTGGGTGTCTCCTTCTCACCAACCAGCACTCACCAGCATTGTGAAGTTTGGTCAAATGCACATTGACAAGAGCTTTGGGAGCCCCGAGACAATGACTTTCATGTATTCACACGTATATAAGCGTGAGCTTGCTCTTACTATTGGCTACAGTCATTGTGTTCAGAGCTATAAACAGAATTCATTCCCTCTCCTCACCAATGTAATCTCACATCAAAAATCAATGTACAGGTATAGTAATAGGTTTTTACCCTTTTATCTGGCACAAAAACTGACACCTTTATACAAGGGATCATGTTTGCAATAACCACAAGTAGTCAAAATGCAAAAAAAAGACAACTCTGATAATATGCACTGTCCTTGAATTTGATTGGTCCACACCCGAGACGGCTTTTCTTAGAGCCCAGTCTCCACTGGTGTTGGACCAGAAGACGCCAAAAGGCGTACAACTCAAAAAACAGAGCACCATCAGAGTATTGAGAGCTCGGGGTAAGCACTTACATGTAAGTATTGAGAGCTCGGGGTAAGCACTTACTCAATACTCTGATGGTGCGCTGTTTTTGAGTTGTACGCCTTTTGGCGTCTTCTGGTCCAACACCAGTGGAGACTGGGCTCTAAGAAAAGCCGTCTCGGGTGTGGACCAATCAAATTCAAGGACAGTGCATATTATTAACAGAGTTGTCTTTTTTGTTTGCATTTTGACTACTTGTGGTTATTGCAAACATGATCCCTTGTATAAAGGTGTCAGTTTTTGTGCCAGATAAAATGGTAAAAACCTATTACTATATCTTGTTACTGGCAAAGGAGGTCTCATAATGTACAAGTACTTATAACTACGTAAGAATGACACATTACGATGGGCGAATTACTGTATTAATACTTGTTATTCTATACGCACGTTTCTGTGTTTAATGCTGACAGAGTGCATTACACTTAAAGAGTTTTACAGTGGTGTTAAATTACTGTGAAATAATACCTTGATTACCAGGTAAGAGCTGGAAAATGAGACCAGAAGTTTCTTTTTTGAAGGAGACCTGGGTGAAAATGAATATGATTAACATAAAACTGTATATTCTTGGGTCATTCGGTGAAGTAACGAGATATGGCCAAATAAAATAATCAAACATTACAGAAAACTACGACGTTTCGATCGCAAGCGGTCGTCTTATTTTCTTTGAACATATCTACGTGACTTTACCGAAAGACCCAACATGAAACGGATTCTCGGGGAAACAATTATAACACACCATTAAAGATAGCAGCAACCAGTTATCATGATGTGAATTCAAATGCAGAGTTACAAACGTCGCAGCAGCAAACATTATGACAGCAAAAGGTTATGGAGTGCGACAAAATGAAAACTCGGAAATGCACATAATGAAAAACAAATATAACAGCAACAGGTCCTAAAGTGCAAACACATTTAAAACGTATAGTATGTGTTAGTTTTAGTTTATGCGACGCTAATTAAATGTCAATATGAATCGTATAGTATGACGACCATAACACGTTTATGATTCTCATCTATTGTGAAGTGGATGCTAGCAACTTCCTGTGAATTCACGCACAGAAGCCGGAAATTTTGTATGCCAGCCTCGCGGGGCCAATTTAGCAGATTTGCAAACCGAAATGACAAAGTTGACAAATGTTTGTCTCGTCCCAACACACACACACGACCTCTCAAAGAAGCGAAGGCCACGTCTCACAGAACCTGAAACATCACGGATGTGAACTTGTCCGACTCTCGCTCCACACACTGGGGGCATCTTACAGAAGCTGAATGTACCAACCCCCCCACCCCCCCACAAGAGGCTCCTAAGCACTCGAAACGAAACGTCGTCGGTCATCACGCTGAACAACAACAGCACGCAGTGGTACTCGAAATAAATAAAAACACACAACAACAACAACCGAGAGCAGAACCAAAAACCGCGACAACCTTCACGCTGTTACCACCCAGGGACAACTTTGTTGAGAGTCAATGAGCAATGGGGATGAGATCCTTACTCGGGCACCATCACCTGGGCCGCCGGGGCAGCCAGGTGTGGTGATGTCCAGGGGCTATGTGGTTTGGCGTCGATTCCCACTGGGTTACAGTGAATTCTCCCCTGTTTCCTGCATATGTGTCTCCCTGTGCGTCTGTGTCTATAGTGATATGTCTGTATGTATGTGTCTGTGAGTTTATTTGAGTCTGTGTGTATACGAGTCCCGATGTGTTTGAGTCTCTATGTCTTAGTATCGATGTCTCTGATTACGTCTCTGAGTCTCGATGTCCGTGTGTCTTTTATGTCTCTCTGCGAGTCTCAACGGGTCTTTGTGACTCTATGTCTGTCTGTTTGCGTCTGTCTCAGTCTTTGTGTCTGTGTGTGTGTGTGTGTCCCTACGTGTCTCTGTCTCTTGAGTGTCTGCGTCTTGGGTGTCTGTCTCTTGAGTGCGTCTTGGGTGTGTCTTGAGTGTCTGCATCTTGGGTGTCTGCGTCTTGAGTGTCTGTCTCTTGAGTGTGTCTTGAGTGTCTGTCTCTTGAGTGTGTCTTGAGTGTCTGTCTCTTGAGTGTGTCTTGAGTGTCTGCGTCTTGAGTGTGTCTGCGTCTGGACGTCTCACCGAGTCGGCCTCTCTCTCCCTGCGGCGTCTCCGGGGGCGCGTGGCGCCGTTGCCGTGGCGACGGCCTCGGGCGAGGTCACGTGGCCGCAGCCCTGCACACCGCCACCGCCACCACCACGGCCACCACCAGGGCCACCACTACCACCACGGCCACCACCACCGCCGCCACCACTACCACGGCCACAACCACTACCACCAGGGCCACCACTACCACCGCCACCACCACCACGGCCACCACCAGGGCTACCACTACCACCACGGCCACCACCGCCACCACCACCAGGGCCACCACTACAACCACGACCACCACTACCACCAGGGCCACCACGGCCACCACCACCAGGGCCACCACTACCACCACGGCCACCACCACCGCCACCACTACCACGGCCACAACCACGGCCACCACTACCGCCAGGGCCACCACTACCACCACCACCGCCACCACCACCACGGCCACCACCAGGGCCACCACTACCACCACAGCCACCACCGCCACCACCACCACGGCCACCACCACCAGGGCCACCACTACCACCACGGCCACCACCACCAGGGCCACCACTACCAAGTAGACCCCACCGACTCGTTGGGACTAAACACCCCCGACTACCCCACTGAATAAACACCAAAACAATCTCCTGCGCTCCTTCGACGGAGGAATCGCATAATTCCAGGAACTCTGCCTCCCGAAGCCCTCTCCGTGGACAGCAGACGTCCACGGTGGCGCTCTGCTCCTTATTTCGTACGGCTTTGTGGAATAAGCAACAGCGGCATTTCGTTTGGTTTTTCTTCCCCCGAGCGTTATTGCGCGCGAATCGACACAGCAAGTGCGTAACTGCGCCGTGGTGGTCTCACGCACGGGAGATGCGAGAGAGCATCTCTCGTGGAGTTGATACTTCATCTCCGTATCCATCGGCCGTGATCGATCGACTGCTGGATGAAGGCCTCCTCCAAAAAGCTCCATTATTATTATTATTGACCATGGGCCATTATAAAGTTCCACGCGATAAGCCACTTTGTTGAGCTGTCATTTGTGGCCAGGTGGCTACTGAAACAATGTTGAATTCATCTTCTTTGTGTTATTTTATTTTATCACCTAATAATATTATTGTGTTATTTTATTTTATCAATTTATTATTTTATTCTCATTCTACGTGACTTTACCGAAAGAACCAAAGAAGATGAATCCTTGCAGTCACGAAAGCTTTCAATCGAAATGTTGAATTCCTTAGTGGGCTTGGTTAAGATAAAACAAAATTGTTTCGCTTTATTAGTGTATATTTTTGAAAGTGATTTGTTTACCTTTCCTATACGTTGCACTCCGATCGTGATATTGTTTTGTTTGTTGTTGTGACGTTCTGACACGCCCCTACTGGACATCTGTGAAAAAGAGCTTTACAGCTCATCGGATTCCTCCGGTATAAATGCTGTACATATTGTGATTCTGATCTTTGACAGCAGTGACACAAGCCTCAAATGGCTTTTATTTACCCACCTGCGTATGTTCTACTAAGCCAAGGGGCCGTCCATAAATGACGTCACGCGATTTTTGACGATTTTTGACCCCCCCCCTCGTCATACGGCGTCACAAAAAATCAGACCCCCCCCTTCAAATATGACGTCACAAAGCTCTGCCCCCCCCCAAACCATATTTCCATTTTAAAAATACAACATGCTTAAAATCGCTTTAAAAACTATTGTCATTGTGGTGCGTATTTAATGTGGCGCTGCACTCTGATGTTGTAGGAGTGTTGTTATAACAATTAGTGTTGTTATAACAATTCTATATTTAGTTAAAGTTGCGCATTTTGATGTGACGTCACATTTCTCAACACCCCCCCCCCTCGTCTGACCCCGCCCCCCCTAGGTGCGTGACGTCATTTATGGACGGCCCCCCACGTGTTTACTATTTTCTATCACGCAATTGAGTTTCAATCACAGCACCTCGACCGTACGTGAGATTTGACAAGCGTTAAACATCGGCACCATTTGTTTTTAAAAGTCATTAACATTGGAGTCGGTGATGTGGCCCTGCTCCAGTGCGTGGCGCCTTCGACACTTGCCGCAGAGGTTCGCGGTTCAGAACCAGCGGCCGCCCTGGTCAATACTGCTATAATACTACAAGCCGCATGCTTCGCTGTGGACGTCAACAGATGCCCTCCCGCCATTAGCAAGGGGAGGCCCATCGTGTGCAGGCGTTACAATTTTACAAAATTAGAAGGGGAAAAAAATTACACCGCAAAATTGACTGAATTGGGATTAGACGTAGCAACAATCATCGTCCTCACCCCCACCCCTCCAACCTCCCTCCCTACGAGCAGATTAAATGGTGACTCTTGCAAATCCGACGGATCCAGGTCCCCTGAGTTCTCACCTGGGCTAAACAAAATAAACTCGGCTCGCCTTGGATGAGAAACTGAATCCCATAGCAACCACTGTACGAGGGTGGGGGGGGGGAACCCCACAGCAATTGAATCGATTCCAGATAATCGACGCAACTCACCTACCGCCGTGTGCACTTTAAAGCGGAATCGACCGCGGGGAGCAAATCTGCGCGGTCGATTCCCACCGGTGTACGGCTCTAACACGCGAAGCAGGGGGAATCGAATCGATTAGAATTCGTTATAAAAAATCTATTTCACTTTTCCGCGCGGGTCACGTGGCGAAGGAAGGGGGCTGGCTGCTGGCTGCTGCTGCCGCCGCCGTCACTTGAGGCGCTGTTATATATTTTTTATTCTTTCTCAATATTAATCACGTTTCATTTATCTCGCGTGTTACTCTACGCCTCGGCTCAACCCGCCGGCTCCGCAGTCGCCTCGCGCCAGCGGAGAAGCACCTCCCTCCCACCTCTTGTCGGCGGAACGCAGCGAGGTGAAAGTGGTGAGAGTCCCCGCACTGTACGCCGACGCCACACTCGCGCGCCCTCCTGCCTCGGTGCGGCGAGTGGACGGACTCGCCCTGGCCATGCTACTGTTGAGTTTCCTTACACCCGCCCCCTCCCCCCACACATACTACCGGGTCGCAAGCAGGGTTGAGACGCCGTGGGTGCCGCGAGTGGACGGACTCGCCCTGGCCATGCTACTGTGGAGTTTCCTTACACCCGCCCCCCCCCACACACCAGCGGGTCGCAAGCGGGGTTGAGACGCCGCGCCTGCGTTGTTGTTTCGTGACGGGTGATGGTGGTGCAACGTAAAGCGCCGCTGTTAGTCGCTCTGCGGTAGTGCTCCGTGTGTGGATGGACTGAATACGGAGCTCTCACCACAGTACTATTTAGTTCCTCCGCGTTTGTCTGGGAAGCTCTGCTGCATAAGAACTAGTGCTAACACAAACCTGTGCATGAACGTATAACAAATACTTCATTGGCAAGCGTACACCCGTGCCGCACAGGGACTGCTGCCGCTGGGGGTCCCCTTGACCAAACTTATAGCAGGGCGTGGATATGGTTGAGGTGAGGTGTGATGCAAGGCACCTTTGAGTTTGCTGAGGAATGTAAGCGCCCTGTAAATGATTACAGTGCTTTGAATAGCGATTGATCCACATGGATGTACCGGCCTGGTCATGGGAATATGGAGTGTCCACCGTTGGCGTTTGAGCCGCCATAGGCGGTCGGGCTATTGCCGAAGCAGGTAGAATCTCGGACGTTATGTAACTGGTCACCCAGTGAACCTGCAGCATCGTTGATGTCCGGTAATGTGATATGCAGCGGCACACTGGCACTGCTTGTAGTGAGAGCGATTCTACATATCCGCTGTTAAAATGTTGGTGGTACTAATGAGATCTGATTCACCATTCTGTGTTGTCTCTTTTAGACCTTGTTGTCTCATCTGTACTGGTTTTCTTTTTTTTATCTCCAAATCGAGTGAAGCACGTTTTTGTGTTATTCGCTCGTTCCGTCTCCATCGGAGGAATCCGATGAGCTATGAAGCTCTTTTTCACAGATGTCCAGTATGGGCGGGTCAGAAATTATTATTATCGCTAACTAAACGCTTCCGATGGCAAACGCATGGTTGAAAGCGTTATACGGTCTTTTGCAATGTCACCTGTAGAGCCCATGTGCACAATCTCGTGTATTGGTTTGTCCGGTTATATTTTTCAGTGTGTGATACATTCCACTGCTATCGATAACGTGTACAGGTAGTACATTAGTACTGATGAGGCGTAGTGTACTCTCCTTTATTACATATGAGACGTAGTGTAGTCTCTTGGCCAAATGCTGACGGGGCCTCATTGAGAGCTTCCTCTGGCTTGCATGTGGTGCGGTGGTTAAATACTCATCATGCGCTGGCCATGTTCGCTGCCTTTTCCCGATAGCGGACAGGACGAGTGTTGTAATCCGCAGGCATTGCAGAGGAGCACCGTACTTCTCCCTTGCTTGTGTGAGGCAAGGCAGTAACATAACTCGACAGTCGTCAAGGGAACAAAACTGAAACCTTTTTACAAGGATTCATGTCTGCATTAACCACAATACCTGCAGTGAAAATGCAAACAAAATACATACTATGATAATATATACATTTTTGATTTAAAGCTTTCGTGACTGCAGTAATTCATATTCTTAGTTCTTTCGGTAAAGTCACGTTTTTATTGTTTTATATATATTTTATTATTTTGTTGTTTCCCTTCAACGTGATTTTACCGAAAGAACTAAGAATATGAATATATACATTGTCCTTCAAACTGATTGGTCCACACCAAGGGACGGCTTTCTTTTGAGCCTCGACCCAATTGGTGCTCGACCAGATGACGCCAAAACGCGTCTTTTGGCGTCATCTGGTCGAGCACCAATTGGGTCGAGGCTCAAAAGAAAGCCGTCCCTTGGTGTGGACCAGTTTCAAGGACAATGCATCATATATTATCATAGTATGTTTTTTGTTTGCATTTTGACTGCAGGTATTGTGGTTAATGCAGACATGAATCCTCGTAAA